GTGACTTGGTTGGTACATGTAATTTAAGTATTCATTTTGTTCTGGACAGTGCAATCAGCTTAGCCAACCAATTGCGTGACTTGTTGGTATTAAGTATTCATTTTGTTCTGGACAGTGCAAAGTTTGCATTCTAAATTTTTTGGTTGCTATTACTGTGATATGCTGATAGAAGTATTAGGCCAACTCTACCGCGCGACCTCAAACAGACGTCTGTTTTGTCTGATTTTTATCCCTTTGGGTAAGGATTTGAGGTCGTGTCCGGGCCTGTCCTAGGATGCGGTGGCAGTGCGCCCAGCATGTGGCCGCATCTTTTTGCCCCATCCTGTCCGCGTCTATTTTAAAAAAAGGACGTTTCAAATGCCAAGCCTCAGTTCATGACCCGAGTTCATCACGCCGGCAACAAAGCCATCGGCCTACACGACCATCGCCGGCAACACAGCCGGCGGCCGACAACACAGTCAGCCTCCAAAATGAATAGTTGTCCTCACCGGCAACATAGCCGGCCTCCAAAATGAATGTTTTTTTGTCGGCACATTATCAGCGGCCCAGCGGGCGGGCGGCACCCATGCCAGCCTCCAAAAAGAACGGCCACGCCGATCGGACGACCTAGTTCAGGCCTTCGGCATCGAGCATCTCCTTCTGCTTGGCCTCAAACCAGGCCCTCGTCTTGTCGCCCATCTTTGACAAGTCCACGCTCATGATCGCAAGGGCCACCTCCTTCGCTTTGGTGGCGGCATTGGTGGCCTCGATGTCGAGCTGCCTCTGCCTGGCTTTAACGTTGTCGGCCTCGATGTCGAGCTGCCTTTGCCGGGCGGCCTCTTCCATGTCGAGCTGCCTTTGCCGGGCCGCCTCCTCCATGTCTATCTTCTTCTTCTTGGCCGCCTCCTCCATCTCACACTTCTGTCGTTGGAGGTCTAGGTATTGCTTCATTTGCTCGTCCTTACTTTGCCGCTTCTTCTCGTCCCTCACATCCTTATGTGACATCATGCCATGCAAAGTCTCATACAAGGCCATGGATGAGGCGTCACGTATGTCGTCCACCTTTGAGTTGGTCTTGCCCCTCGGCCTCTTCAACGCCTCGTCATCCCCATCTCCGGCGAACTTGGTCGTCTTCTTGCCTCTCTTCCTTTGAAGTTCACGGTATTGATCCTTGAACTTAGGGCAATTGTTGATGATCGTCCAACAATGCGTAAGAGTGAATGGCTTGTCATTGTGCCGGGCCTTGAATGCCTTCAAAGATTGAAATGCCTACACCACATGATCAACAACAAGTGAACATGCAAACATATACATGGCCGAAGTCTCATGGCCGTAGCAAGGGCTAGAAAGCCGAGACCACTCAGGGGCCGTGCTTCAACGCTCTCAAATGCGGCACAATACTTGTTGCACTCTTGTTGGATGAACAATCATCTTTTTTGAATCGAACCGATGTCATGGTTGCTTGTAATTTGGTAGGGCTCAAACATCTTCCTTTCATGGAATGTTTTGTGGACTCTCGTCCAAAAAACAATGCCCTTTTGTTACGTGCCGGTCCTTGGATCTTGGCTAATCTCCATCCAACATTGGCAAATCAACTTGTCCTCATCTTGTGTATATGAACCGGTGCGAATGCTCTTCCGCTTCTTTTGTGCTTCCGCTCTTTGGGTGAGCTCGTCTATGAACAATGGAGCGCCACTAATATCAACATCATTGGCTTCATCTTCATCTTCACCTTCGACATAGATGTCATCGTCTTCATGCCACGAATCACCATGGTCGTAGTCAGCACGGTCGTCGGCCTCTTCATCGGGCACGTACTGGGCGCGGCCATCCTGACTTTGGGTCTCATCGGGGTCGTAGGCACGGCCATGCCCACCTTGGAAGATCACGTCCTCCATGTACTGGTTGTAGAAGGGGTGGTCCACCGTCGGCGTTGAGGTTGGCATTTCGTTAAACAACAGCGGGGGGCCGGCATGGTGCCCGTGAACGGTGCACGCGCCGGCTTTCTTTGCATCTCGATGGAAGGCCGCCCGCCACTGCTGGACCCAGGCGTCATGTTGAGGTCGATGACGGCTGCGGGGCCTGGTGTGGACGGCGTGAACAAGCCCACGTCCGGCGACGCCGAGAAACGGGTCTGGTCGTCATGCCTGGGTGAAGGAAACCCGGACGACATGGGCGCGGCGCGCAACGTCGGCGACTGGCAGTGCGTAGGCCGGGCGACGGACAAGCCTGTGCTCGTCGGGCCGACGGCCGCTGCATGGAACCCCGCCGAATGGCCCATGCCAAGCATGAGGATGGCATGCGCTTTGTTGACGAGGTCCTCCTTCTCGTCGGCAGCGGCCTTACGCCGCGCGGCCTCCAGCTCCTCGCGCTGGGCGGCGAACTTGGCCGCGGCGACATTCATCTTGACGGCCGCTCTCCGTTCCCTCCTCTTCACCGATTCCGCGTCCAACTTGGTGATCTCCTCTGGCGTGTACTCCGACCGCGGCTTCCTTGGCGCCTTCTTCTTCACCTTTGCGG